AAAATAACAGCGTATTCAACCAAAAAGAAAAAAATCTAAGAGAAAATATCACATCCAGTGTTTCTTTACATCTCTGTCGACACAAGTGGTATCACCCTTGAGGCAGCTGAACAAGATTGAACATGACGTCACTGCATCGGAATCGGGATGCAGGGGGACGGGGGAGTGGGGGGATCAATTCTCACAGAAACAGGAGGACCGAACCCATACCCGTTGTTTTTGTATGACATCATCGCTATTATTTAGTAATTCTTTGTGGTCTCGCACCAAATTGTTGTCACACTCCGGCTTGATTTAGATTCAAGGTCAATCAAAATTTAGCATACTCATAATAGTCTCAATTTCATTGACGGCGGATGCCTTTGTCGTCAATCCCTTACGATGATGGCAATACTTTACGATCTAAAAGGCAGAAAGGCATTTGGCAGTCTTCAAACTAAGCCCCTTTTTAAAAGTGAAGCAATCGAAACTAATTTGGGCGCTCGACTGCGATACATTCCTCTCATGTCCGCTTGTTGTGAAAGATAAGTCTGTTGCAGTATTCGCGGATTGCGCTGGAAATGTCCGGATCCTTCCTTTCCTAATAAGTAAGTCACACGGTGAGTGACACTGGTGCGGCTTTGCATTTTGGACTCAGGCTGCTTAAAACCCACTGAAAACAGCTTAAATTAGGCCCTTGCAATCTGGAAAGAAGGTCATCATTTCCTCTAAAAAAATATCTAGGACGGGACACGGAACTACATCACTGGACTGATTTAAATGTTAGTATGTGTTGTACTGAAGCGACGGCATGTCTTACGGTTGTTGTTTAAGTGTGGTTTACGTCAGTGGTGTCAAACATAAGGCCCGGGGCTCCGCCAAAAAACTGGCCGTTAGAGCAGGGGTGCCTAATACATCGATCGCGATCGACTGGTACCTCGCGGACTGGTGTCGAGGGAAAAAAAAAAAAACCAAATCCAAAACATTTGTGTTTCTGTGTGGGTGTTATCCATCCATCTATTTTCCGATCCGCTTACCCTCACAAGGTTCGCGGGGGGTGCTGGAGCCTATCCCAGCCGTCTTCGAGCAGTAGGCGGGGGACACGCTGAACCGGTCGCCAGCCAATCGCAGGGCACACACAATTTAGAGTGTTCAATCAGCCTGCCATGCATGTTTTTGGAATGTGGGAGGAAACCGGAGTACCCGCAGAAAACCCACGCAGGCCCGGGGAGAGCATGCAAACTCCACACAGGAAGGCCGCAGCTGGAATTGAACCCGGCACCTCTGCACTGTGAGGTCAACGCCCTAACCACCGGATCACCGGGCCACCCTTGTGCGTGTTATTAATATGATATGTTTTTGTGTTAGCACACACTGCACCCTTGGCATTCTAATAGTCTCACTTTCAAAAAAATATTTAAAAAAATGAAATAAAATAAAAAAGCAGGTTACCTTTAACCTACTGTGGCACGCCATGTGCATCACTGGAAGTTGTTAGCGGTCAGCTGTCTGCAATTACGGCTAGCGATCAGAGCTGTTACGCTATCTCTTTTACTGTTATTAGTATTCTCATTCAGAGTTTGTTTCATGTACAATTGCCCGAGGGCACTGGCAAAGAATGGGAATCTGAAGTGCTTGGAGAAAAAAAATTTAAAACGATACACGTGAGCCACTTTAGTTAACACACCACAAAGGTGTGTCCCACACCTCAACGTCAGATCTCGACGAAGTTAGGCAGTGATTTCCTTTTCACGAACCCACAAACTCTTGTGTCTACTTTATTTTTCGGATTCATTCATCTAGGGGGCCGTTATGGCTTTTGCTCATCATGGCATGCGTGTGTAAGTGCGTGCATATGCACGCGTGTGCAGTAACGAGTCGATCGCGAGAGGTTGGTTGATCGAAAAGTAGATCTTCGGTCAAAAAAGGTTGGGCTCCCCTGCGCTAGAGGGTTCAACCGGGCGAGCGGGATGAATATGAAAGTGAAAGAAGAATACCGTTGCGTCCCTGCCATTATGTGTTACGTTCAAAATTCAATAATTTCCAACTGTCTTTTAAGGACAGGAATGTTAACAGGCTGAGTCCTGACTTGTCATTGGATGAAAAAGATAAGGGGGCGGGTGTGAGGAAATGAAGTGGGAGCCGGTGTGTGTGTGTGTGTGTGTGTGTGTGTGTGTGTGTGTGTGTGTGTGTCGTGTGTGTGCGTGTGTGTGTGTGCGTGTGTGTGTGTGTGTGTGTGTTGGCTTTTGTTATTTTGCCATGATTACAGATGACAGTGACCCATCTGTGTGCGTTGAATATATCGTTGATCGACCACCTCCTTGTCATCATTTCGGTGGCTGGGCCAGATGTTACAATCCTAGAAGACAATGTGGTTGCGCAGGCTGATTTTAGCAGCTGCTGTGACTGAACAATGTCCGTTTCAATTTTTTTATCAAAGTATAGTTCATTAAACGTGTAGATTTTTCTAATGTCGTTATTGGGTGGAAAAAAACCCACCAATATATTGGCATTCACTGGATAGCAATTATCATCTGATTTTCCTGGTCTGGCCCACTTGACATCAAATTAGGCATGTGGCCCCTGAACTACTCAGTTTGACACCCGTGGTGTAAATGATGATCTTGCAGGGCAACTTTATGAGATGTGACCCCTTTTTACATTCTGTGTGTCTCTCTCTCTGTCTCACAGAGGAGGGCGAATACTTCCTGAAGGTGCTGATTCCCAGCTATGCAGCCGGCTCTATAATTGGCAAGGGCGGCCAGACCATTGTACAACTGCAGAAAGAGACGGGTGCAACCATTAAGCTGTCGAAATCCAAAGATTTCTACCCAGGTAAGAGGTCATTCACAATCCTTGTAAAAAAAAATTTTAATTCTTTTTTTTTTTTTTTTTTTCAATCACGGACCGATGGCAAACACGTGAAACAGGCATTAGGAAATACATACAGCGGCTATGCAATGTCGGCAGACAGCTTTTCAAATGGCAGGTTCAGTCATACGAATAAAGAGACTAAGATATATCATTTCAAACATTTAGCCACCATTAATATAACCTGTTCAACTGAATTGAAATAAAATGAATAATAATAGATGGGGCGGTGGGGGGTCATAAATGACTGAGATGTGTTTTCACAAACGTGCATGTGTTCAGAATCTGCCAATCACATTCAAACTCATGTTTAATGGGAGTCAGCACACACCCGTCAGCAATGAAAGTGCCTCTCGTTAACTGTAAATCATGTTCAGCGATCGTATCCGGCTTTTCCCGTCATTATTGTTGTCACATCTTGCAGCACAAGCCTTGAGCCCTGTTCACACGGCACACATTTGGTCCGACGCTGCACCGAAATATTTTGTTGCGATATATTTTACACCGGAGCAAATTTTGTGGAGCGGTCACACATGCAAAGCCGCTGAGCGTGACAGCTGCGGCGCAGCGTCGGAGCAGCTCCACTTGCAGTCACACGTGCAGTTTCTGCTGCGGACCAAAACAACAGGAATGCGGAAGTAAAACAGGTTCGGGTCGGGCTTCTCTCTCGCGGACTTTTATTTATTTTTCTTTTAATAAATATAATGGCGGACACTATTCTGCCCTTGTTCAGAATAGATCCACTTGTTGGCAGTCGTGGAATAAAGACGTGTTTACAATCAATCGTGTGTGCTCCTTATGACTGCCACAATATATGTTTTAAAAAATGTATACTAAAACAATGTGCGGATACTAAACTAAGGA